CCGGCCCCGGCCCCGGCCCCGGCCCCGGCCCCGGGGTTTCTGCGCAGCTGGATTTGCGGGCGGGGCTGGGGGGGGGGCGCCTGGGTTTGCTGCTGCGGTGGGGGCCGCTTTCAGGTCTCTCTGCTGCCACAGTGGCAAGCAGGGAAGGGGGTGCATGGGGCTGCCTGCCTTGCATTTGGCACTGGGGGTTGCACTCGAGAAGGATTCTTGCAGGATGCAAGAGCTCCAAAACCCCCCCAGCGAGCTGGTGTCTGAAGTGTGGAGCAAGAGCTCCCCAGTCCCACGGAGGCACTGCAGTGTTTGGGGTAAGAAAGCAGTGGTATCTGGCACTCTCATCACAAGCAGATTGAAAGGGAGTCTTTTAAGTCGGTGCAATTTGAGCCAGCCTACAGTTGATTTCGCATCATCTTTGCAACCTAGGGTTTTTCTTTCCCTGTTTCTACATCCCTGTAGGCATAAAAATGCTAACGGAAGCCACTGTTTAATCATAATTGCTTAATTATCTATGGGCCTCTTATCCTGTTCCATCTCTGCCTGATTAAAACCTGTTCCTCTCTTCTGTTCCTGAACTGTCTGCTGGACCAGTCGAGGTTTGCACAACTGTGGCGTTCCTCGAAGCAAAACCAAACCAGTCAGGTGAAGGGGAGCATCTGGGGAGAAAGGTTGTAGACTTCTGTTGTCTAGATTTGTTCCCCAGTTCTGTCCCCCTGCATTATACAATATTAATATACAACCGTGTCCTGTGAAGCAGGAGGACGCTGTATGTTCTTGGAGCTGGCCAAGAGTTACTGATTATACCCGCGTACTTTATCCTTTGGGTTAAAGTTCTGAGTTTGCACTTGAAATGTGCAGCCTTTGACAAAGTGCAGCTAAATTGGCGTGATGCTCATCTTGTATGGCAATTCAGGTCAATTAACGCAGATTTTGTTTTTTAATATAGATGACAAATTAAGTATCACCGTTCATTTCCTACATGCTCCAAATCGTAAGTTTATACAAACAGTCTGAGGAACTACACTTTGAAGTAGTCGAAGTAGCAAAGTAGATCATCCTTCATCGGTCCCAGCACGAGGCACTTCTCAAAGAGAGTCCATACCACCTATTTTGAGAGAGCGCTCGCCGTGTAGACCGGGGCGGGCCGGATGTGGCCCACGAGCCCGTTCTATCTGGCCTGTGAGGCCCCTATGAAATTTAGAAAATTAATATTTATTTGCCCCTGGCTGCCCTCGATGGCTTGCCAAAGCTCAGCAAGCGGCCCGCCACCTGAAATAATTGCCTGCCCCTGGTGTAGACTCTTATCTGCAAACAAGAAAATCTGTGCTATTATGCATAATTATAATTTCCCACAAAAACTACTCTGCTTAATTTTCCTGCGAGGGCATCCCACTAGCTGACATGACAAATAGGGTTTTTTTAGCATGGATGAAATGTTGAATTCAGTAAACAGCAAGAAATAGCTGATCTTAGCAAAAGCTAAGGAAGTGGATCTGCCTTGGAACACATCCTAAAACATGGTTTCCTTTTACCAGTTTTCAACCCAAAGCAACACCCTTCATAGCACACTGCAACAGCTTCCCCTTTGACAGAACTTTTCCAGCCTAAGCAGAATGCTATTTTCAACGGCAACTAAAATCTTCCTATAACCGGCAATAGGAAAGAGACTCGTGCAGTGAAGTAGGATGTTTCCTGCACCAGTGATAACCTTGAATGCTATGGTATTCACCACTACAGAGGCAGCTATCTGTACCTGTGAAAGCACAGCATCTTTTTTCCCCCCCCCCCTACAGCAGCAAAAGGCCACTTCTCCCACATGCTTCTTTGCTGAATTGGGCCTAAGGGCCTTTCGACACTGATGCTAATGCTGATAGCTCCAGCAAAATATGGACAGAAGTACTTTGTCTATTTTTTTATTGCGATTTCTCGGTTGAATAAAAGGTATCATCTCTGAACCAAGAGTTCCAGATTTTTGCATTTCTTTTGCTCAGACCAACACAGCTACCGAATATATCCCTTGTCTATCACCAAACACTTTTCCAGCGCAATCTCGGTTGCCATTCTGTTTTGGATGGGACTGGGAACGGACAGGTTTGCCCAGCTTCCAAGGGACTGTGTCCATTTCTGATTGAACCTGTGCCGGTGACTAGACAAGCTGAGCAAAAAGGACAGGAGGAAAAAAGGTACTTTTTACCCCCGAAAGGACAGAAATGTCATGAAGAACGGTTGCGTTTTCAGTTCCACTTTGCATGTTATTTTCCATTGTTCCACACTACACACTTACTACATGTTTTCCCCTTACTTGTCAAGCTTTGCCTTTGAGATGAGCTTTTCTAAATCCCATCGCTGTGGCATGTCTTCTTTTCACTGCGCTGTCCCCTGCCAATCTTTGTGAGTATAAAAACACTTGCAGACTGATCTGGTAGCATTTTGCACTTCCTCTGTATGGATAGGGAATGTGATACACATTGGAGGTTTCAGTACTAGATCCCTAAAGCCACTGACTAAAGAAATTTGTGCAAGGTGTGTATAAAATAGATACAAACGTGATTTGTGTAGGGCTGTTGTGCATGGTAGTGAAAGATGGAGCATCTCTGCTGGGCCCAACTGAGTTATATTGGTGCACGCTTTCAGCTTTGCAAAGCATATCTGATTCTCCAGCTGACTGATTTCTTCAGAAGATGCTTGGGTTTGCACAGTAGTATCCTGCGCAAAGTTCATCCCGGCCCATATCAGTCCCTGTGCTTCCAGAGTTTCCTTCCAAGGTGTGAGATGGGGAGACTGAAAAGCCCGATGCAAGAGGGCCTCTCTTTATCCATTCCTGGTCCCCAAACTCCAGCCATCACGAGCTGTTTGTGTAAAATACTGCACATTATCTCTTCTGGACAGCAGCAGTAATTTTAGCTTTGCACCCGAGCTGCTGGCAACACACTGATGGAGGGGAAGGACTACAATGTGATTGTAGCAGTGCTTTTTTTTTTTCTTTCTCTGTTTTTTTCTGAATAGGAAAAATCTAGTATTTTTGGCTGGTTTATTATTCGGCCTGTGGACGCTCTTTGTGTTTAAGTCTGACGATATGAACCCCTTCCACTTATTTGGGCTTGTTCTGTTCTGGCTAATTTCTGGAGAGTTACAGGATCTGTGTTCACCTGAGCTTGTGTATTCAGTGTGTAACTCTAGACCTCTGCTTTGTGCTTTCTAAGCTCTGGGGAATCTGAAAGCTGAAGTTTTAAGGAAAAAAATAAACAAGTTCTTCCCTAGACTTGGGATACATTTTGATCTCCCTACAGTCATCGGTATATACGTACACGGGAAACAACAGAGCTACGTTTAGTATAATGTGATCAGAATCAGGACCTTCATGGGGGTTTTTGTGTGGAAATGGCAAATTGTTGCATCTTGCTAGTTATATTGATGGTTTTAATCTTTGCAGAAGGTAAAAATGTCTCCTGGAAAAGACTACGTTGTTCTGCACACTGGGCAGAAATTGCCCCTTATAGGACTGGGCACCTGGAAGAGTGAGTCTGGCCAGGTAAGCAGCAAGCTTGCTATCCATCCACATTATTATTTCCATGTGTGTGCATGAAGCTCACTTCTCTCCCCCCCCCCCTTATTTTGATGAATGCTTTGGTCATACAGAACACACAGATTTTAGGCCCTGGTTACTCTCATATATGCCTGTATTTATGTTTATACAAGGACAAAGACGCAGTAAAGTCAGTGGGAATACTTATGTGTAGCTGAGGATGTGTGTGTATTTGTGGGATTGGGGACTTGATCCTAATTCAGCAGTCCATCCCGATTTAGCAAAGCACTCCAATATTTGGTTAATTCACATTGACTTCACTGTAAAAGTTGTTACCGACTTCAGAGGAACTTCCTTACAGCTCAGTTCAACAGCTCTTTGAAGGATGGTTGTGGTGGTTAGGTGCTATACTTGGATCTGGGACCGTTACTCTGCACTGCTGTTGACTCCTGATGTGAACTTTGGCACGCTAGCTGTATCTCAGTTCCCCATCTGTGAAATTAGGATAATAATACTTCTCCCACACACCTCAATATTGGCTTATCTTGTCAGGTTTACTCTACGTTCTTCTGGGCAGGAACTACCTCATAGTGAGTATGTATAATGCCTGGTACGGTGGTTTTCAGCCCGTGGTGCATGGACCTCTGGGGGTTTGCAGACTAAGAGGTCCATGAAAGATGACTATGATCAAACAAAAGTGTGGGAATACCCAAACCCACACTTACAATTCAGAGGGGTCTGCACCTCCATTCACACTTTCCAAAGGGGTCTGCACCTCCATTCAAACTTTCCAAAGGGGTCTGCATCGCCATTCAAATCTTTTTAGGGGGCCTCAAATTAAAAAAAGGTTGAAAACCACCGGCCTAGTGTAATGGGCCCTGTAGCATGGCGGGGTCTATAGCACTGCAGTAGGACTGCTAATTGTTGTCATATTTTAATGGCCTCTCTGGGGACCTGGACCATGGTGTGGCTGTACTGTAAGTACAGATGTGAGAGGTTGCAGCTGTTGTGTAACCATCACACTGTCAGAAAAGCAAACATGATCGAATTGCAGGCATCCAATTTTTTGACAGGACAAGTGCAAACTCCTTCCCAAGCTGACATACTGTGCTCTTCTCCCATACTGCAACAAATCCGAAAAGACAAATTGAAAAAAAACCCAACTGAATCTCTTCGGAGCCAACTTCTTGTCAGGCTCCTTCTCCAAATGGTTAATGTGACTGCATACCAAGGGAGGAATGGAAGCAGAAATAAGGTGAAAGCTAAGTTTGGGAAGGTATAATATGAATGCTAAGTCTGCCTTTCAAAAGTCCCGTGAGAAGATAGGTGCTCTCACTTAAAAACAACCAAAAACATAAAGCAAGAAAAAGCAGCTGTTTGCTGGGGTTAGTTTCTTCCCCTGGCATGAATTTAATAGATGGGTCTGATGGTGGGTACGAGACAGGTTGTGTACGTGCAAAGCGTGACTTTTTCCAAACCTGAGGAGAAGTAACATGTTTGTCCAGTCGTCCATCTGTATTATATATTGAATAACTGTTAATGGAATTAGAAGTGTAATTATGCCTGTGTGTCTTTTGTGTACACACTTTGAAACAGCAAGCCTGCGTGCACAGTGATGTGGACCCTGCACCACAAAATACCTTGGAAAAGGTCTGCTTATCTGTCTAGCTTAGCTCTCTTCCATTGGGATGGTACTTACTGGCTGCAGTTTTAGCTGGAGCTAATGGGATCCACAAGCATAACTGCCTGCAGAGTCCCATAAAAGTCATTAGGACTCATTAGGATGCCTGCTCCCTTCAACCGGGTGTGATTGAAATTATATTGCTGGATTGGTGTGATTGACAGGGGCCATAGTATCACAATAGACATCAGCGTGTTAATGTTTATGGATAGTTTAATGGCTGATATCAAGATGAGAAATCAGCATTTTAATGCACATGGATGGTTTAAGTGCTTTCCAAAAACTGGTGAAATATAATCCAGTATGGGATACTAATCTTGGATTGCATTTAATTGTAGAAGAGTCATGGCGGTAGGGAGACGGTAGAGGACAAGGCTGATCGAGGTGTGTGTTCAAAATATCAGGGCCCGGCTCCGGGAGCACACTGCATTTATAATGGGAGATGTGCACCATTCTTAACTGAGTTGCCTCTATGGGTCACAGATTTAGGAGGACACTGGAAGTATCTTGTGCTCTTTACTTCTTTTAGTTTCAACATGTTTGAGAGAAGGAGAGTTGTTCTGTTCTCTCTCTCAAGTCCACTGGATGTCCTTTAAGGGCTGCCAGCCAGAGTTTAGTTTCCTTTCAAGCTCAACCATTCCTGAATGACTGTAACCATTGAATAAGACTAAGAAGGCATGACTTTTTTAATGACCCTAGATCATTGTTTTGTGCAGCTCACGTGCAGAAAAGCTGGAATTTGACTGAGGTAGACCCTAACCCTTCAAAGACTTGCACTCGCATGCTCCTGTGTGCATACACGTACATGATACAGTGTGCAGTCCTATCTGGGGAACATATTTTTAATAACTCCTAAAGCATTAGGAAACTCTTATCTGTTTTCTTGCTGTCAGTCTGTGAATATTGTTTTCTTGGCTGTCTCTGACCTGGAACTTATCTCTCTTCTTGTACAAGCTGCCTGCTTTTCTGTAGATGAATCATAGTTCAGCCCAGACGAGTGTGATTTCTGATATAGCACCTCACCAGTGCTGCTCTATTATATTATTCTTCCTCAGATGCTTTATTGTTTTCCAATTTGGTTTAAAAATTCTCCCATCAAAATGCAAAAAAAAAAAAAAAAAAAAATGTTCCTTTTCCTACGCTCACAGGCAAGCCTGGGTAGAAAAATTGGCATTTGCTGATTTTACCATAGGAACAAGATAATGTGATTTCTGAATGGAGCAGAGCATCATACATCGTTTTATGGAAATGCAGCGAGAATGAGATCAAAGAGATGGGTCTGTTCAGCCAGGACATTTATCATTAAGGATGGAACAGATTTTAATATAAGAGCTTGGGCAGCACTGATCCTTTGTTGCTTGCCGCCTTTTCCTCTGATCTGCAGCTATGAAGGCTTCTGCCACAGATGTTGAGGTCTGAATGTTGCATATTTGATCCGGGGCCCAGGATAGTGCTACAAGATCACTCTTGGTTTGATTTGGGGTCTTTTTTGGTCGCAGAGAGCCAGAAAAGTGCACACTACTGGTGGCAAACTAACAGTAATCGAAGCTTGCAGAAAATAGACCCCATAATCAAAAAAAAAAAAAAGATCAGCACAATCTGAAAACACTGGAAAAAAGACTTACAAAAATGATTATTTTAAATTACATTGTTTCTTAAACTTTGAACTCGGCAAAACGTTCAAACTGCAGCGTTGTCCAGCCTGCGGTGGAGGGGTGCGTTCCTGAAGAGGGATTTACAGGAAAGGGATGACCTTCATGGGACCAAAACGAGAGACTGTATTTGGGAAGCCAGAGGTAGAAATGAATACTTGGGCTAGGCTGGTTTTCTGTGCATCTCATGATAGGCCTTCAGACTCATAGAAAGGGTTTCTGGTCTTGGAAATGTCACCTTGTCAAAACTCAGATAACCAGAAGACATATAATGATCCTAGTAAGGGGGAGCTTTCTGGATAGTTGCAGTAAGTCAGCCAGCTGTGCCTGTCTAGATTTTTGTAGAGGATGGATGATAGGAATCGGGCACCTCCATAACCGTCCCTTTATAATATGGTATCCTTAGATCAAGCCTTTTCTGCAAACTGAACGTTTTAGTCATGCTGGGAGGCACTTGGGTATGTTACAGGTGACAAAATGAAGGATTTGAATTAAATCCTATTGAGGCAAGAGACAAATCTGTATTTTGGGGAGCATCCCCCACCCCGCTGAGAGTGCATCAATCTAACCCTGGGGTAAAATTCCTTCCCAACTCCAAATCTGGTGTTGGTTTGACCCTGAACAGCGGGGCAAGATCCTTTAGCCAGGAACTGCTGGTTTTGCTCCCAGCAGGAGCATTAGCACCCCACGGTCAAGGCCCCTAGCTTTGGCCATAGCCAACAGTCAGTGTCTTTGAGGAAGGCTTAAAAACCCCTGGCACATGCACCAGAAATGGGGGCTGGGGGCAACCGGCAAGCCCAGAAACATGGGAAGTGCCCATAGGAGAACATAGGCGTAGCTACGCCGATGGCCTAGGTCATCCCTGAGCAGTGGCTGCCCAGCCTCTTCTTGCACACCTCCAGTGATGGAGGGAGTCTGCAGACTCCCACGGCATCTACTCCACGGTTTCCCTGCTCTAACAGTGAAGATGTTTTTTCCAGATATCCAGTCTAAACTTACTTGGCTGCAATTTCAGACCATTGGTCCGCCTCCTCCTTTCTCCAGCGAGAGAGAAGAGGCGCTTTCTCTTTTCTTTGTGGCAGCCCGTCAGGTACTTGAAGACTGCTTATCGTGTCCCTTCTCAAGCACCTTTTCCACAAGCTGAACATGCCCAGCTCTTTCAGCCTCCTCTCATATGACTTGCTTTCCAAGCCCTTTATCATCTTTGTTGCCATCTCTGGACCCCTTCTAACTTCTCCACGTCCTTCTTAAAACGCAGATCCCAGAACTGCACACGGCATCCAGATGAGGCTTAACCGGTGCCAAATAGAGGCACCATCACCTCTGATGTCTTTTAGCCAATGCTTTTATGGATGCAGCCCAAAACCACGTTTGCCTTTTTGTGCAGCTGCATTGCGCTGCGAGCTCATACTCTGTGATCTGCCAAGACTCCCAAATCCTTGCCCATAGAGCTGCCATCCAGCCAAGTGTCCCCCACTTTATATTTGTGCTCTTGATCATTCCTCTCAAAGGGCAGCACCTTGCATTTGTTTGCAGTGAGATTCACACCGGTAGCTGCAGCCTGGCTTACCGACCTAGAATCATAGAAAATCATAGAAAATTAGGGTTGGAAGGGACCTCGGGAGGTCTGTCAAGATCCTCTGAATTGCACTCGCATCCTCCAGTGTGTCCAC